TATAATAATAATATAGGACTTTTGTTTTAAAAAATATGTTAATTTTATATATATATATATATATATATATATATATATTAATTATATAACTGACTAATATTTTAACTGTTATTTTTATTTATTTATATAGGTTATATATCTTATTCCTTTTTTATGTTTGTTTGTAATTAAGAAACTTTTTTTTTGTGTTGTGTTTTTTTATATTTTAGTTTATATTTTTTGTTGTTGTTAAGCTTTTTGCCTTATTTGATTTAATTTTTGTTTATTTTGTGTGGTTTATAAGTATTTTGTTATTTTTTATGTATTTTTTTGACTATTTATATTTTATATATTTTTTAAGATTATTTTTTTTTATTATATATATATATATATATATATAAGTTATTTATTATTTTTTTTATTTTTAATTTTAAGCAAGTAGGTTTTATTGTTTATTTTTATTACATTTTATCTAAACATGTGTGTTAGTTTTTTTATTGTAAATAACTATTTGCATATATATAAAATATTAAGAGAGTAATAATTTTTATTGTTTATACTAATTTTCTGGCTTAAGTAATTATATTAAAAAAAACACATACACACATAAATTATAATACAAAGAAAAAAACAATAACAAAATTAAATTAAACTGACTGACATAACCTAAAATAGAAAAAAAATATATATATATATATATATATAAACAAAATAATTAGTAACTCTTTTGTTATCTTATTATTAAAAACACACAGCAAACCACAAGAAGAAATTCATGAACACACACACAAATACACATTTCTATATATTTTGAGGCTGCAATCCAAATAGTTGCCAATACAAATATATATATATATATATATATGGAGAAGACCCACAACCTTTATAAATCCACGCCTGAAGGCCATTGGAAAAAATATTTTCTTTAAAAATCCACGCCTAAAGGTCATTGAAAAAATAATTTCTTTAAAAATCCACGACTAAAGGTCCTTGAAAAAATAATTTCTTTAAAAATCCACGACTAAAGGTCCTTGAAAAAAATAATTTCTTTAAAAATTCCCGCCTAAAGGTCATTGAAAAAAGTTTCTTTAAAACTCCACGCCTGATGGGTCCTTGAAAAAATATTTTCTTTAAAAATTGCCGCCTAAAGGCGGGAGGGGTCATTGAAAAACTATTTTCTTTAAGAAAGTTAGGTTAGAGTCAAAAAATGCATCTAATAGTTTCACAATGTGATCTTATGAACGAATGGAAATCAATTGTAATACAAAAAAACATTTAATTTCCAAAAACAGTAAGGAAAGTAGTAAAGTCGAACGGGTCGACTATATGATACCCTTCACCACTTTGGGTATATTCAACAGATGAATCCTAAGAGACGTCGCATTTTTAAAGGACCAGTAAAATGAAATTGGATCCATAAACATGCCACTCTGCAAACGATACTAAGTTTTTCATGTGGTCACATATATAATCCATATCTAAATCTGAACTGATTTCCAGGAGACTTAACACACATCATTCTAGACCTAGTTCATTACGCTGTGCCAAATTTCGTGTAAATCGAGAGATATATAGGGACTTTAGTGTACCATTTACATTAAATCGGTCGAAAATATATATGGAAGCTTTATCTAAATCAGAACCGATTTTCAGAAAACTTAACACACATCATTCTAGACCTAATTCATTATGCTGTGCCAAATTTCGTGCAAATCGAGATATATATAGGTACTTTCGTGCACCATTTACATTAAATCGGACGAAAATATATATGACAGCTATATCTAAATCTGATCCCATTTTCTCCAATTTAAATAGGGTTCGTCCTTGGGTCAAATAAGTGAACTGTGCCAAATTTCATCCAAATCGGATCATAAATGCGACCTGTACTTTGTTCACAAAAATACATGGACGGACGGACATGCGTAAATCGTCTCAGAAAGTGATTCTGTGCATATTCTCAAAAGGAATCATGTGTCTATCTGGTTTCCTTTTGCCACAGTATGGTGAAGGGTAAAAAAGGAAATTTGACACAAATAGTTTCTGTTTTGAAGTGAGGTTATGCCGGAATTTTAATTCTCAACAATTTGAGAGGTTATGTCCGAACAAAAAAATAAAATAGGCGACTATTGGTAATTAATTTTTATTCAAGACATTTCAATTGTGATAAAATTCTCAAAAAAATGTGTGTGTTTTTTTTTTTTTTTTTGAATTGAGGTTATGTTTATTTTCAAAAAAAAAAAAATCTCGAAGTGTGGTTATGGATGAATAATGGGGTTTGGTAAAACAGACGACTATTGGTAATTAATTTTTAATCCAAGACATTTCAATTGTGATAAAATGGATAAACATTATTTTTTTAATTTATGTTTATTTTTCAAAAAAAAAAGTTCCAAAAAATCTTTAAAAATGAATCTGAACGAACGTTTCAGAAATGGACGACTCAATCACTACCAACCAGCAGCACTAGCCTTTGTGTTATGCATCGAACCTTGCCGAGACAATAGATAATCTAAGGATGGATTAAAAAATAACACATTAAAGCCTTTTCATGGCGAAAACCCCAGGGTAATTATACAAAATATTATGTATACAATTTTTTTCTTATGGAAAATATAATGTAGATATTTTTTCCTTATAGAAAAAAAATTATCTAGATATTTTTTTTCATAAAAAATATTATCTAGATAATTTTTACATATAAAAATATTATCTAGATAATTGTTTCATATAAAAAATATCATCCAGATAATATTTTCAATAAGAAAATTTTATCTAGATAATCTTTTCAAAAAGAAAATTTTATCTATATATTTTTTTTCATATAGAAAATATTATCTAGATAATTTTTTATTGTGGAAAATATTATCTACAATTTTTTCTTCTACAAAATATTATCTAGATAATTTTTTATTATGGAAAATATTATCTACAATTTTTTCTTTTAAAAAATATTATCTAGATAATTTTATAATAAAGAAAATGTTATCTAGATAATTTTTTCATATAGAAATTATTATATAGATAATTTTTTTATTATGGAAAATATTATCTAGATAATTTTTTCATATAGAAAATATTATTTATATAATTTTATGATATGAAAAATATCATCTAGTTATTTTTTTCTTCTACAAAATATTATCTAGATAGTTTTTTCATATAAAAATATTTTCTAGAAATTTTTTTCTTATTGAAAATATTTTCTAGATAATTTTTTCATATAAAAAATATTAACTAGATAATTTTTTCTTCTACAAAATATTATCTAGATAACTTTTTCTTATACAAAGTATTATCTAGATAATTTTTCATATAGAAAATATTATCTAGATATTTTTTTCTTATACAAAATATTATCTAGATAATTTTTTATTATGGAAAATATTATCAAGATAATTTTTAATTGTTGAAAATATTATCTTGATAATTTTTTATTATGGAAAAAAATATCTAGATAATTTTTTCATATAGAAAATACTATCTAGATATAGAAAATGTTATCTAGATCCTTTTTTCATATAGAAATTATTTTATAGATAATTTTTTGCTTACAGAAAATACCATCTAGTTTTTTTTCTGTTACAAACAACAGATAATCTAAGGATGGATTAAAAATAACACATTAAAGCCGTTTCATGGCCCAAACCCCGGGGTATGTAGAGGTTGTAATGGTTTAAAATATTTGCATTTTGAACTCTGTAGATTATCATGCTATAAAGAGATTTGTCGCCACCTCACAATCCTCTTCACATCTGTCAACCACCACTTCTACTACTTCACAGATAACCATAATGTGAATATAAGGAACTAAGGTATACGCTTGGAATGGGTGCTGTCATTTTCCAAATTCAATTCAATAGAAAATGATGTTATGACACAGAAAGAGCATATAAAAAATCCGCAAACACAAATATATTTCAAATCTCAATATAATACAAAAACAAAATCAACCTTATTTTTGTTTTCTCTCTCTCTCTCTCTTTTGAAGAAAATACTGCAATAATATAATTTAAAGCCTATATAATTTTTGTTGTTGTTTTATTTATTTAAAATACATTCTACGTCCTGGGTTCATATTTTGTTTTAGTTTTTTGTTTAAATATACATTGTGTAAAAAATGGCTCAAGGTGTTTTTTTTGTTGGTTTGTTTCTTTAATTTAATAAATTGGGATTTAATTGTTTTTTTTTCTTTTTCGTGTTGCTTGTTTTTGATTTAATTCAGTGAATTCGTTTTTAATAACATTAAAATAAATGAAAAGAAAAAAAAACTAATGGTTTTTATTACATAAAAATAATAATAAAGCACTAAAAGAAAAAAAAAAAGGAAAACAAAAAAATTAATATTAATAATAATTAACATAAATACATTATTTTATAACTAATTCTTGCTGGGTTGTTTGTTTGTTTTAGCTTCTTATTATCTTCTTTCATTATTTTTCTTAGTTTTAGTAGATTTGTTTTGTTGTATTATAGATATTTTTTTTTTCTTTTTTTATTATAATTTAATTTTATTAATTCTGTTGTTTTTGTTTTTATTATTATTATTAATTTTATATTTAATTCTAAGATTATTAATTTAAATTATACATACGCTAGGGTTTTTTTATTTTGTTTTTGTTTTTCTATTAGTATTTTCTTATGTTCGTTCCATATATATTTTTATTTCTTTTGTTCCTGTGCTCTGCTGATGCTACTGCTGCCCGTGCGCTTTAACACTACTTCTTGTTATGGTCTCCTCTAGTCGTTCTCTCTTGTTTTTTTTTTCTTCGTCTCTGTGTGTTGTTGTGGTTGGTTGTTTGGATGATGGCCTAAATTTCATATTAAAATTCGTATGAAAATGCTTTCCTTTTTTATTTTTTTTTTGTATTTTGATTTATTTGCATGCTTTGCAAAGGATCATCCACACCACACAACATTTTAAATACTGGACGAAGAAGTTTTGTTTAATCTTTTCCTCATTGGGTGTGTGTATAAGGATTTGATTGGATATCAGCTGTTATAGACTAGTGTGTGTGTGTTTATTGTCCATCGTAGACTTTTGTAACTTTGCTATTGGCAATTTCTTCCCATGCTGAAAATGGAAGAAGAAAGGAAATGATATATTAGTAATCACAACAACAACAATAACATAGATGAGGAGTTAGGCAGGAGGAGATACATTTTTCTTATATAAAAACTTATAAATTTTTCCTATGTAAACAATTATATAGAAAAATTTGTCTCATATAAAAAATTATCTAGATTAATTTTTCTTATATAAACAACTATTTAGATAAATTTTTCTTATATTAAAAATTATCTAGACAAATTTTTCTTATTTAAAAAATTGTCTAGATAAATTTTTCTTATATAAAAATTATTTAGATAATTTTTTTTTATTAAAAAATAATCTTGATAAGTTTTTCTTATATAAAAAATTATTTAGATACATTTTTCTTATATAAAAAATAATCTATATAAAGATGATTTTTTATCTATTTAAAGATAGATAATTTTTATATAAGAAAAATGTATCTAGATAATTTTTTATATAAGAAATTTTTATCTGGATAATTTTTTACATAAGAAATATTTATCTGGATAATTTTTTATACAAGAAATATTCATCCAGATAATTTTTTATATAACAAAAATTTATCTAGATGGTATTTTATATAATAAAAATTTATCTAGATAATTTTTTATCTAGATAGTATTTTATTTTATTTTTTTGTATAAATGTATTATTTATATTATTTTCTTGTTTAAAAAATTTATGTAGATACATTTTTCTTATATAAAAAATTATTTAGATACATTTTTCTAATATAAAAAATTATCTAGATAAATTTTTCTTATATAAAAAATTATCTAGATACATTTTTCTTATATAAAAAAAATTATCTAGATACATTTTTCTTATATAAAATACTATCTAAATAAATTCTTCATATATAAAAAATTATCTAGACAAATATTTCTTATTTTCCCATTTATTTCATAAACGAGAACCTAGCCCAAAGGGCCATGAGCGACTCCTAAAACGTCATTACATGGACTACTCCAAAAGCTAAAAATTACAATTACAAAATTAAAATTATAAATTAAAGCTTATATAAAAATATCTAGATAAATTTTTCTTATAAAAAATTATCTAGATAAATTTTTCTTATATGTGAAATTATCTAGATAAATTTTTCTTATATAAAAAATTATTTAGATACATTTTTAGGGTTAGTTGGCCACACTCGGAAAACCCCTCCTACTATGAAAAAGCAAAGAAAAAGAAAACCAAACTCCCCTAATGTTGACGAACACCGCAAACGTAAAAAGGACCATGATCTGCGAATGGAATGTGCGCACCTTGTACAGAACAGGCGCATGTACTCAAGAAATGCATACAGGAAATGCGATGGAAAGGGACAGGCGTAAGTAAATCAGTCGATTACGCACTGTATTATAGCTGCCATGAAACGAGACATGAATTTGGCTGCGGATTTATGTTTAATAGGAGAATAAAAGACCTCGTCCCCAGATGAGCGAATTGCTATAATCTGTATAAAAGTGAAGTTCTTCTACATCAGTCTCATTTGCGCCCATGCTCCGACCGAAGATAAAAATGAACAGACCAAAGACATATTTTACGAGCGCCTAGAAACAGCATATGATCGCTGCCCTGGCCATGACATTAAAATTCTGCTAGGAGATTTTAATGCAAAAATCGGAAGGAAAAATTTCTTTGGCCCCACCGTTGGAAAATTCAGCCTTCATGAAGAAACATCCGACAACGGCATGAGGTTGATTGACTTCGCGGCAGCAAAAAACATGGTAGTTAACAGCACCAGATTCAAGCATCTCGATATACACAAGGCCACCTTGGATCTCTCCTGATCAAGCAACGATAAATCAAATTGATCATGTTGTGATAGACGAAAGGCATTCAACCAGTGTTTTAGACGTCCGATCGATCCGAGGAGCGAATATCGATTCGGACCATTACCTTGTGGCAGCCAGTCTTTATGTAGCAGCAAAGGTGCAATCTAACACAACACGGAAACTCGACGTCGAAAAGCTGCAAACACAACAGGTAGCCGAGGCCTACTCCGCTCAACTTACCCATCTGCTTGAAGAAAGCTCTTCTTGTCCCGATATAGAAGCACAATGGCAAAGAATTGTCTTTTTAACATCCTGCTGGAAAAGGTCATACGAGACGCAAAGGTGAACAGAAATGGCACTCTGTACACCAAACAACACATGTTACTCGCCTACGCTGCCGATGACATCGATATAATGGGTCGAACATTGCGATAACAGCCATCTTTGAACAAATTGAGAAGGAGTCTGCCAAAGTGGGTCTGGCAGTAAACGGCGAGAAGACCAAGCTGGTGGTATTAACGCGCAAGACGTCCAGTAGACTCGGACCAACTGTGGAACTTGAAACCTACAGTTTCGAGGTAGTCAAAGATGTTATATACCTTGGTGCCGCCATAAGTAAAACGAATGACATCAGTTTTGAAATTCGGAGAAGGACAGTGATGGCCAACAGATGCTACTATGGTCTAAGTAAGCAGATTAGAAACAAGGACACCTCACGTCAGACCAAACTCACACTCTACAAGACGCTGATACTACCCGTGCTCTTATATGGATCTAAAGCATGGGTACTCGCGCAAGCAGATGAAGCAGCTCTTGGGGTGTTTGAAAGAAAAGTTCTCGGAAAGATCTATGCGTTGACGGTGAATATCGCCGTCGAATGAACCATGAGTTGTACCAGCAATTCTCGGACATCGGCATTGTTAGACGTATTGAGGTGCAGCGACTACGTTGGCCAGGTCATGTTGTGAGAATGGATGAAGATGCCCCAGCCCAGAAGGCATATAAAAACGAACAAGCTGATGGTTCACGCAGAAGGGGAAGGCCACGAATAAAATGGAAAAATCAATTGGACGACAACATTGCAGAAAATGGTCTTTCAAATTGGAAAAACTGCGCTAAAGACCGACGCGACTGGAAATCTTTTTTAAGCTCTTCTTATGGAACGAAAGTTCTGTCACAAAGCAGCTAAGTAATATTTTATATAAGAAAAACGTATCTAGATGATATTTTATATAAAAAAAATTATCTAGATAGTATTTTATAAAAGAAAAAATTATCTAGATAATATTTTATATAAGAAAAATTTATCTAGATAGTTTTTTATATAAAAAAATTTATCTAGATAATTTTTTTATATAAGAAAAATGTATCTAGATATTATTTTATATAAGAAAAATTTATATAGATATAAATCTTAAAAAAAAATATTTTTAAAAAATCCACGCCCTATATAAATCTTAAAATATTATTATTAAAAATATTTTTTTAAAATTTATATATAGCGTGGATTTTTTAAAAATATTTTTATAAGTTTTTTTTTCTAAATATTTTTTAATTTCCATGTAAGTCCATATAAGTCTTGGATTTTTTTTAATATTTTTAAACTTCCATTTTTGTAAATTTTCGTAAATTTAAAAAAACTTATTTCTTAAAAAAAGATAATAATAATAAAATGTTTATTTTAATTACCTGATCCAATGAAATCGATTATTATATCATTGTGTTGTTGTGTGGTAAACGCTGTTGTCATTGTTGGTGGTATAAATTGTATGGGTAGACGTCTTGGACGACTTGGACTACGACTACGTGGTGTATTAATATAATCATCGTCATCGGCATTGTGATGATGATAGGAGGAGGAGGGATGTTGATAAGTATTACCATGATGATAATTTCTGGCATTATATGCTGCCGATGATGACAGTGACGATGATGAAGATGACGAAAAGGAACTTGAATTTGAAGAATTTGCATTTTTGTATTGACTTTGTTGAGATGATTGTGATTTTTGCTGTTGTTGTTTTTGCTGCTGCTGCTGTTTGGCAGCTTCTCTGGCAGCGGCAATTATTGCCGTTTCAATATCATTACATGTCTCCAATTGTTGTGGCGGCGGTGGATCTAAACTATCCAATGATGTGTGAACACTTGTACATTTGGTATTTGAAAGGAACGTATTTAATTTGTTATCGGCAGCAGTATCCTTAGTGTTGGCGGCTGTGGATGTTGTGGTGGTGGATTCGGAGGCGGCATTTGTTGCCGAAGAAGAACGTGTAGTAGTAGCAAGGCGGTTACAACTACTACTACTGTTGTTGTTGGAGTTGGAAGAGAACCCTGTTGCTGCTGCTGCTGCAGAGGAGGAGGACAACATCACAGCTGTTGCTGTTGTTGCAGTTGCCTTACTTTTATCTGTATAAATGCCACTATCACTTGATTGATTATTTTTACCGGTGGTTGTCATGTTATGGCCGCCACTATTCACCCCATGATGATGATGACTATTGGCCAAATTGCTGCTGCTGCTGGTACTACTACTGCTGCTACTGTTGTTGTTGTGGACAACGAACGATGTATTGGGTGAGGATGCCTCCACACTTGAATTCAACAGCATATCTGGTGTAGAATTATTGACCAAATCATTTTCACACGAAGCACCCGAATCATTGAAATATGATGTGGTGGTTATGGGTGATGATTTTAGTGTTGTTGTTGTTGGCGGAGCAGCAGCATCATGATTTTGTTCACTATCTATGGTGGTATTACTACTACGACTACTATCCGCCGCCGCTGGCACACCACCATCATCTTCAAATAATTTCAATTCATCCTCATTGAAATCACCGAAGGTAAATTGATTATCAGCCAAACAACAACCTGCGGAATTTCGATCATCATTTAAAATTATAACAGCTGGGCGGGGATTGGTTGTTGTGGTGGTGGTGGGCGTCGTTGATGATGATGAGCCACCGCCTGTGGAACAGCTTAATGGCAAGGGCTGTGATGATTTCAATTGCGTCCTGGTTGATTTTTTGGAAGATGTTGTTGTGTTGCCACCACCACAACCACTGCTGCTGGAGGATGTCGTGCTGAATTGCTGATGCTGCTGTTGTTGTTGTTTGGAAGAAGCCTCATTGGTTTGATTTTGTTGCTGTTGCTGACGATCTTTTTTGGATTTTTTCACATTAATGGGGGGAGGATTGTTGTTGTTGCTGTTGCCGTTATCTGCCGGCTGGTGATTCGCAGCAGTGGTGGGTGGTGTTTTTTCTTTGGATTTTCTGTTTGCGTTTTGGGTGTTGCTGGTGCTGCCAGGGTTATTTGTAGTTGTGGGTGTGTTCGTGGTGGTGTTGTTGGTAGTGTTTGTATTACTGCCACTTTGAGCAATGACTGTATGATGACTGTTTGTTGAGGTAGTTAAGGCTACATTGTTGTTATTGTTGTTGTTGCTATTATGATTATTTGTTGTTGTTTTATTATTCACATTTGTATTCTCAATACTATTTGCCAAAACTTGTTGTTTGGCCGCCGCAGCAAAATTAAATGCTGGTGCAACAACAACCATTGTCTGCTGCTGCTGTTGGGGATTGGCAGCCGCCGCCAGTGTTGACGAATAGTTCATGATCGTTGCCGCACTGTGACGTTTAACGGTTTTCTCTAAGGCAGGATATTGTTGATCTAAATTGTTGCTAGTCAAAGAGGCCACATATGAAGCTGACGCTGACGACGTCGCCATTGAAGTTGACGTGCTGTCCGTTTCCATACTCTTCGATTTGTGTAATATTTGCGGGTTTGGTGAATGTTCGGCAGGTATTGTTTTGTCACAGGAAATATCACCACCACTTGGTGTAGTTCCCCCTATTTGATGATTTTGAGGCATCTGCTGTTGGGCTACCAAACTTTGTGAATAGCTAATTGTGGATGTTAGCTCAGGGAAATCCTGTTTGCTTTGGGATCTACGAGATTTGCTGGTGGTCTTTGTGATTGTAGTCGTGCTGGTGTTGCTGGTTGCCTTCTCTTCATCGTTTGTGGTAGGATGATGTTCAGTAATTCTGCAGTCCAGATTAGTTGCTGCATCACCACCACTGCCACCTGTTGTTGTTTGGGTCACAGCAGAAGAGCCAGAAATAGCAGCAGCAGAGGCGGTGGCGGCGACGGCTGCAGCTGCTGCTGCGGCATCAGCTATTTCCTTATTGGTACGAGCTATATCGGCATATGAAATGGGTACATTTTTGTTTAAAATAGGATTTTTGTTGTTGCCCTTTGTTGTTGTTGCTGGTTTGTTGGCATTTTCTTTTGTTGCTGCTGCAACATTTGGTTTTTGTTGAGTCGATTCAATTGGCAATGAATGAACCGAGTCGAGATCACTTGAATCAGATTTTTCTGATGGTGGCACGGATGAAGTTGATTTACGTCTAGATTTATCATTTTTGTTGTTATTATTGTTATTATTTGTTGTTGTTGTATTTGTATTGTTAAATGTTGTTTCACTACTATTTTGTTGTGCTGAATTATGATGATGAGGATGATGTTGTTGTTGCTGATTACCATCATGTTGATTATTATATTTATTATAACGCTGTTGTTGTTGTTGACTATTAAACGTTGTTGTTGTGTTTTGGGAATTGGAATTTGATGTTGATGACTTTTGTGAAATGGTAAAATTGTGCGTCCGATTAAATGTAACCGTGGTCGATTCTTCGTTGACCTTGGGTTTTTTGGGCTTCTTCTTTTTGGTAACCACATGGAATTCCGCAGTTTCGGGACAAGAAGATTCCATGGGTACAATATCGATAATGGTGACAGCATTGGGGGGAGTGTCATAACGTTTGCGTCTTTCGGATTTTTCGCTTTTTTCCGCAGCGGCAGGTGTTAGTGTTCCTCCTCCTGCTGCTGCTGTGGTGTTACAATTTGTTGTAACATTGTTGATGATGTTGTTGTTGTTCAGATTCTTTTCATTACGCTCAGCCGTTTTATCTTTTGTTTCCTTTTCCTCTTTGCTCAGGGATTTCTTCTTTTCATTTTTCGTTGGATTTCCATTGTTGTTATTATTTGATGTTGTTGTAGTCGTTATAATAACCTTCTCATCATTATTTGCCATCAAATTTGTTGTATTGGCATTTTGTTGCTGATCTTCCAGATATTTAAGATCCTCATTACCCCAGGAACGGCGATCCGTTTTACGATTAGTGGTCGTCGTCGTCGTTTTAGTTTCGAGATTTTTATTGATATCGGCGGTCGATGCAGAATTGTTTTTATTTTGTTTACCACCACCAGTCGTCGTGGCGCCACCACCTTTTTGACGCATAACCACCGCATTATTACTTTCCGTGGTTGCGGCTGTACGTTTCAGTTCATGGACTTCCATTTTAGCACCACTACGCAACTCTTCCAGAGAATTGCTTTTTTTAAGTTTTTGTTGATGCTTTTCCTTGTCCTTTTTACGTTCCTTCTTTTTATCACCAGTTTTGTTGTTAGCTCCGCCGCCGCCACCACCACCTTCACCACTGCTCTCAATATACCGCACCAATTCCTCAACGGGATCTTTGCCTCTATAGCCGGCCACTGATTCGACATCGACCGTTTTTGTATTGCGCTCTTGCTGTGACTTCTTTTTAGCCTTTGCCTTCGCCTGCGAAGGTCCTGAGGCATATGTGGTTATTGTGGCCGAGGTGGAGACAGTTGTGGACGATGTGGGATGGGGCGGTATTGTTACTGTGGCCGAAGTCGAGACATTATTTCCGGCACCACATGAGGTTAACAAAATGCCAGCACTGCCAGCAGCTGTGGCGGCTGCTGCTGTGGGAGAGACACAATTTATTTGCATTGTATTGCCGCCGGTAAGTGGTGTAACGACGCCGCCGGTCAATGCCGCCGAATTTGCATACAACTCACTGAGAGCATTACCATTTTCATCTAAATGGCGCTGGTGGTTTAAATTGGCAATATTGTTATTTGTGGTAGGTCCTCCCAAAACCACCGATGAACCACCACCAGAGGCAGGTGACGATATTTTCGTATAAATCTAAAAAAAAAAAAAAATACATTCGAGTTTAATAAAATATTCGCAAAAGAAAAAGAAAACCGCTTACCGAATTTGTTTTTGTTTTACCCAGAAGCTCTGCAGACGACGATGATGATTTCTCGGCGGCTGCCGCACCCGGAACATCACCTAATACCGATTTACATGATTTATAATTTTCATCCAAGGGTAAAAATTTAGCATCCATGGTTGATGTATTTGTTGTTGGAGTATTGTTGTTTTTGCTAGTGCTGTTGTTGCTGCTGCTACCGCTATTAACGTTGTTACCATTACGTTCCAAAGTATTAAAACGTACCGTCTCATCGACATAACACTGTGATGAAGTGGGAGCAAAATATGTACCCTTTGTGGAGCCAATTAAATTAACTGTGGGTAGACGTTTTTCAACATTGTTTAAGCGCTCATAAAACGATTGACCCTGCACAAAAAAAGAAAACCAAATAAAAATATCTAGGAGGGGGAGGAGATGTAAAAAAATATGACAAACCTGTTTTGTTGAATCTGGTCCTTTACTTTGTAAGATTTTTTGTTGTTGTTGTATATCCATCATGGGCTCACCCATGTCAATAATAAAATCACCTCCACTAGTGGTAAATGTGGAGGCAGCTGTTGATGCTGCTGCTGCAGCTCCAGCTGCAGTTGTTGTATCAATGGTTTTTGTTTCACTATCCAAATTTGTTGTTGCGACTGCCGGCGTAACTGCTCCTGGTGATGTTGTGCTCTCTGTAGAATTTATAACAATTGCAGTTGCAGTACTACTATTCGTATTTGCATTAGACGCTTCTTTGCTTTCTGTTGTTGCCAACGACACCTTGGCAGCAGCGCTATGCTTCTTATCCTTTTTACTCGATTTACCAGATGACGATAATGCTGCCTGTTGCATAAACAATGCTAAATCATGTCCAACTCCGCCACCACTCAGCTGATGTGTTACATTGACATTACTGGGCAGGCTGCCACCTTCACGTTGCCGCGATGACACTGACGACGAGTATTTCTTTTGTCGCGAATTGTGATTTTGTCGGCGTGTTCGTTGATTACCACCACCAATACCTCCGCCGATGCCGCCACCGACGCCACCAAATATCTGATCACAATCCAATTGTGATTCGTGTAGGCCAATTTCAAAGAGATCTTGCAAGGATCCACCCTGCTTGAGCTGATGATGGTGGTGATGGGGATGATGGTGGGAACGACTATGATTATGATGATGCGGATGATTATAGCTGTTGGATGTGGTAATGGAACTGGACAAGTTACGGGATCCACGCGATGTTATTGCACAAAATGGATAGGATTGATCTTCATTTTCTGCTTTTTCAAGTAATTTCTGTAGACAAAAATAAAGAGAGAGAGGGAGAGAAAAAATTGAAGTTAAAAAAAGTTGTCGGATCGGATTTCAATTTGTTGTCGTCTACTTACCAAAAATGTTTTACTTTTGTTCTCTTTGTCTCTTGGGTTTTTATAGGAATATGCTTCGTCTAATAATTCTTTGAGTTTGAAATCGTCCCAATCTTTTAGACGGCTTTCCTCCCATGATTCTGATAAAAAATCCTATAAATATATAGAAAAAGAATAACGTTTAGAAAAAATCGGATATATGTTAAGCAATTTTTTTTATAGAAAATTAGCGATAAGGCAATTTGGTAATGGCAAATTTTTTATTACAAAAACCCTGCTGAATTATTTTTTTATTAACAAATACTTTTCTGAATAGCGTTTTTCTATATAAAAACTTCGTTGAATAGGGGTTTCCCATCGAAAAACTTAGATAAATTGAGTTTTTCTGAAGAAAACACTAGCTGAATTAAGTTTTTCTTAAGAAAAGCGTAGCTGAATTGGAATTTTCTTAAGAAAAACCTTGCTGAAACTTAGATAAACTTAGATAAATTGAGTTTTTCTGAAGAAAACACTAGCTGAATTAAGTTTTTCTTTGGAAAAGCGTAGCTGAATTGAAATTTTCTTAAGAAAAACCTTGCTGAATTAGTTTTTCTTAAGAAAAACGAAGCTGAATTGAGTTTTTCTTAAGAAAAACCTTGGCAAATAGAGTTTTTCTTAAGAAAAACGTAGCTGGATTGAGTTTTTCTAAAGAAAAACTTTGCTGAATTGTGTTTTTCTAAAGAAAAACCTTGCTTAATTGAGTTTTTCTTAAGAACAACCTTGCTGAATTGTTACATCTAATTTTTTTATGGAAAAATGTATCCAATTTTGGAGAGTTGATAAAAAACCTAGCTGAATTTATTTTTTCGCTACAAAAATTCTGCTGAATTGCGTTTTTATTAGCAAATAGTTTAATATAGTTGATTGTTTTTCTATCGAAAAACTTCGTTGAATTGTGTTATCCCATCGAAAAATTTAGCAGAATTGGGATTTTCTTAATAAAAACCTTGCTGAATTGTGTATTTCTATAGAAACAAATATTTAAATCTTATTTTCCTTATGAAAAAATTAGCTAAAATTTAGTGTGTTGTCAAAAAAATTCCCTGAATTGATTTTTCTTTACAAAAACTTTGCTGAATTAAAACACACCTTTTTGAATAGCGTTTTTCTATAGAAACACTTCGTTGAATTGTATTTTGAATTTTTATTTTGTGGTTTTTAGATTTGAGGTTTTTTGTCCCACAAAACTTAATTTTAGGAAGATGGTATTGAAGGAAAAAATGTTCCTGAGAAAAATTCACTAAATGAAATCTCTGGGTGTAATACGGACCAACAAATGTTTTGCAATAAAAATTAAAAAAAATAGGGTAATTTTGTGGATTTTCGATTTGAGGTTATTTGACCCACAAAAATTAATTTTAGGGTGATGGTATTGAAGGAGAAAATATTCTCCAGTAAATTTCACTATAGGTCATCGACCAAAAGAAATCTCTAGGTGTAATATGGACCAACATAATAATAGTAAAACATTTGCAAAAAAAATTAAAAAAAAAAATAGAATAGTTTTGTGGATTTTCGATTTTAAGCTATTTCTCCCACAAAACATAATTTTAGGAAGATGGTATTGAAGGAAAAAATTTTCCTGAGAAAAATTCACTATAGGCCATCGACTAAATGAAATCTGTAGGTATGATGTGGACCATCATAATACTAGTAAAACTTTTGCAATTAAAATTTTAAAAACAAATTTAGGATAATTTTGTGGATTTTCGATTGGAGGTAATTTCTTCCACAAAACTTAATTATAGAAAGATGTTGTTCAAGGAAAAAATGTTCCTGAGAAAATTTCACTATAGGCCAGCAACCAATGCAAATCTGTAGGTATAATGGGTATTTTGGGATTTTATGACTGTAGGCCTCATATCTTGTAGATAATTGATATTCATTTTTTTGCTTTTGAAACACTGTACACAATTCTTAAATATATATATATATATGTGTGTATGTGTTATTATAGGCAAATTTTATCATGAACTTACCACACATATATTGGGTAAACGATGAAATGATAATAACTCACATAGCTCACTGATATTAAATAAAAAATAATTTGTTTAACAAAAAACAATTTTTGGGCTACTTTTTGGCCCTTTTTAAAAAATTGATTAATTTTTTATTATAAATTTCTTGTTCGCTTGTGAACCGTTAATGTGGAGAGTGGAAGGACACAAAAAAATATTTCTTCAGTATTCACAAATGAGTTTAATAATTATGTTTTTTTCTGTTTTTTTTTCGAAGAGTGGAGGGGTTTCTAGTTCAGCAATATATAATTAGATTATTTCTAAAAAACACCAAAATCAAATATTTGTGCCAAAAAATAAAACTTTTTTTATTGGTTTGCTGTTGGTTTTATCCTTGAACTGTTTTGATGTTATTGTTGTTTTTCCTTGAACTTGAGGCAATATTTATTTTTTGTTATTCTTTTTTTCTCATTTAAAGGTGGTAATTTCAATTTTCGTTTTTAATTTTTTTAAAAAATGAGTTATAGTAGTCGTCAAAAATGCAACATGCCAACTAATAATGAGTAAATTCTTCTTCTCCCAGCAGGGCTGCCAGTCAGCCAGCCAACAAACTGCTGGCCTCTTTACCTAACGGTATTCATATGCGGTTTTGACTTTACTTTTGTGTTGTTGTTATTGTGGTATATTTATTTTTTTGAAACACAAATAGAATTTCTCCAATTCTCCAATTGTTGTTTTTGTCGACTACTTTACTTTTTTTTTATTTGTTTATCGTTCATTTGTCATTTCACCATCATCATCACCACAGTTTGAGTGAGAGAGTGAATATTTTGTGTTTTTGTCTTAATTATATATAATTCATGTAAAAAAAATAAATTGCCAAAGCTGACTCAAAACGACAAATGACTGCAACAACAACAACAAAACAAACAACGACTAACGAGCAAAAGGAAGAAATGAAAATGAAGTCATTTGTACTAAGAATCAATCAGAGGCAGACTAAAAAAACATTATTTCTGCATACAGATGTGAAAAGAGGAGCGGAGTGGAGCTTCTTAATTATATCAACAATTTTTGAGAAAAAGGATTGGGTCCACAAGTCACAGTTCTACAAAGACAACATGTAATGAAGTCCCCTTATGTTCGATCGGACCGAATTTTTTATGCACTCCTCCATCATTTGGGACCTTCATAAATGACAGGCTATGCCATTGTAATTTTTGGTAGGAAAATTTGACACCCAATGAGAAGGAAATTAGAAACAATTCTGTAAAAACGTGTCAAAAATCCCCAAAATACGAATTCAGGTCAATTCAGCTAACTTTTATAACTCAAAAAATACAATTCAGCTTACTTTTTTCATTAAAAAATTAATTCAGCTAACTTTTTTATTTATTTGTATTAAATAAGTATTTACCAATGCAGCTAACATTATTTATAGAAAAATTCAATTCAGCTAAATTTTTCAACTGAAGAACTCAATTCAGCTTACTTTTTTCATGAAAACATGCAATTCAGCTAGCTTTTTCGAGGAAAAGCCGATACTGCAACCTTTTTAAAAAGGTATATATCAATTCAGCTAACATTATTTATAGAAAAACTTATTTCATCTAAATTTTTCAACAAAAGAACTCAATTCAGCAAACTTTTTCCATGAAAACATGCAATTCAACTAACTTTTTTCAAGAAAAACCGACTTTTCTAAATAATAATATATCAATTCAGCTAACTATTTTTAAGAAATAGTCAATTCATGTTTTCCAATAAAAAAATACAATTCAGCTGACTTTTTTAATGTAATTCAGATAACTTTTTTTTCGTGATAAAAACAATTCAGCTAACTTTTTTTTAGGGAAAAGTCAATTCAGCGGCTTTTTTAAATAAGAATATATCAATTCAATTCAACTAACTTTTTTATAGAAAAACTCTACTCGGCTAACTTTTCTTTAGAAATAGTCAATTCAGCTAAATAGAAAAACTCAATTCAGCTTTTCTTTAGAAATAGTCAATTCAGCTAAATAGAAATACTCAAACTAATTCAGCAATAGAAAAACTCAATTCAGCTAATTTTTTCCATTGAAAAAATGCAATTCAGCTAACTTTTTCCATTGAAAAAAAAACTATACTCAGCTACCGTATAACGGGTTGTACCGAATAATGCGAGGTACTTTTATTTGAGGGCTATCTTAAAAAGTTCACCAATATCGATCATTTTTTCTGGAGAGATTTGCTACCTCATGGGAACTGAAACTACCAAATAACAGTCATTTCGTTAAAAAGTTGGTGCAAAAAATTGCCAAAATTCCGAATAGGGGGCGGTACCATAATATTGTGGCTATCCTCAAAAGCGGACCGATATCGATAATTTTTGTTATGGAAATTTTGCTACCAAATGAGGATTTAAAATACAACATTATTGGAAATTCGGTTGAAAAACTTGCCGAAAATTCCGAATAATGGTGCGGTACCGTTATATAGTGGCTGTCCTCAAAAGTGGACCGATATCAATAATATTTTTTAGGGGAATTTGCTACCAAATGAGGATTTAAAATACAAAATTATGACCAATTTGGTTGAAAAACTTGCCAAAAATTCCGAATAATGCTGCTATCCTCAAAAGTGGACCGATATCGATAATTTTTGTGGGGATATTGGCTACCCAATGGGAACACAAAATACCAAATAACAGCCAAAAATGATGAAAAATTTTCGAATATACCGAATATCTAAGGGTACCCCGTTATATGGAGGCTAACCTCAAAAATGAAAGGATATATCCCATTTTCAATACCAAACATCCTAGCAGTATCAACAATGTTTGTGCATATTTTCAATGATCCATCTTAAATATTGTGAGCTCTAGAATTTTATTCAGATCAAGAATATATGGGTTATGGTTATGTCAGAATACCTAAAAAGAAGTCTATTAACTGTCACAAATTGCAGAAGGGAGGATGTTGGTTTAGAATTTTATGGCATTGGTGATTGATGCACAACGAAGGACGACTTTCCGATCATTATTGATCGTGGTTTTATAAGGAAAATATTTTTAAAAGGGCCATCAAGAAGATTTATAAAGAAAATATTTTTTCGAGTGTCATCCAGCGTGGATATATAAAGAAAATATTTTTCAAGGACAATCAGGGGTGGATTAGCAAATGAAATATTTTTCAAGGGCCCACAGGCGTGGATTTATAAAGAAAATATTTTTTCGAAGGCCATCAGTTATGGATTTATAAAGAAAATAATTTTTCGAGAGCCATCTGGCGTGGATTTATAAAGAATTAATTTTCCGAAGGCCATCATGCGTGGATTTATAAGGAAAATAATCTTTCGAGGGCCATCAGGCGTGAATTTTTAAAGAAAATAATTTTTCGAGGGCTATCAGGCGTGGATTCTTAAAGAAAATATTTTTTTAAAGACCATCAGGGGTGGAATTATATAGAGAAAATATTTTTTAAAGGATCATCACGGGTGGATTTATAAAGAAAATAATTTTCCGAAGGCCATCAGACAACTTTTACTTTGAAGTTGTTACAAATGATCGGTGTCATTTTAACACCCAAGAGGAGTGTGACAGACAGATTTAAAAAAAAAAAAAAGAAAAAAAATTATGCTTGTTTCGATCGGAAAAAATATAAGGCAAAAAATAGACAATCACAACTTTATTTTGACATTGCAATTACTTATTTTGGTATGATGACCTTTTATAGTTGTAATACGCCGAAACACACAAACAGCATGGACTGGAAACAAACAGGTCGACCGACCAACCGATAGACCAGAGTGGATTTCATACACGCAAGGTTAGAACAAACAAAAACTAAGCCACAAACATGTTTCTTGATATAATATCAAATACATATATATATATATATATATATAAACATTGCACCATACGATATTCTATGTGGCCAATGTGTGAAATCAAAAATAATTTCAATAAATGAAAAAAAAAGAAAAATTAAATTCTATAGACTAGTTTTTTTTTGACTTATGCTATTTAACTTACCTTTGATTTGGATTCTTTGGTACTGCTGCTGACGGCTGTTGTGGTCGTCGTGGTGTTGTTATCATCGCTCTTACTAACAGAGTTTGCATTACAAACTGCTCGAGAATTTGATGATGGTGTTTCGGATTCCTCTTTTTTGTTGGTTACAGGTGTTGCTGATGTTTCGTTGTTGTTGTTGTTGCCTACTGATGAAGATCCTCCTTTTGTGTTTGTGTCTTTATCAGCTGTTGCAGCCGTGGTAACAGCAGCATCAGCATTACTATTCGCCGATGCCGACGATGTTGTTGTGGCGTTAGTTACAGCGCCCAAAACAGCTGATGTATTATTGGCAACCGACATTGAATTTGACCCCAGCTTAGCAGTTGCACTTAAATTTGTGGCAGTTGATGACGATTGAGGCGACGACGACGATGTGGTCACTATATTTGAGGATTTTTTAACAAGGTCCTTGGTAGTTTTATTGTTGGTATTAGTTGTCGATGATGATGATGCCGACGATGATTCTTTGCTGGTGGGCACCGGTGTAGGTGTGGTTCTGGTCGAGGTTGTTGTTGTGGTTATTTCACTTAAAGTCGAACCGGCAATCGAGACAATGGGTGTATCGGGTATTATAGCTGCTGCTAATGATGAAACGGCTGCAACAGCCACGACTACGGCAGCTGCTGTTGGGGGCGTGGTAGCTGCTGCTGGCAGATGGCTACTTGCATTGACCGCAGCAGTGATGGCGTTAACAGTTGCGTCAAAATTGGACGATGCTGCTGATGATGAAGTCGATGATGAATGTAGTGGCAATGCCGGTTGTAACGATGATGATGACGATGTTGATGCTGATGCGATGCTGTTGGTAGCAGATGTGCTGGAGGACGATGACAATTGTGGTGCATTAGATGTGGTCGACTTAATACTTTCATTGTTCATCTTTGTGAACAGAAGACAAACGCAAATACGACGACAATGGCAATAGAGATGACGACGGCGACGATGGCGACAAAGTCAACAGCAGCGGCGGTGGCAGCTTTGTTGAGACAGCAGCAGTCTTTTCGTGGGATTTTGCAACAACAAATGCCATTAAATTTCAATATTTTCTTAACAATTCCAACAAAAACATGCACAGCAAGCAGCTGCCCTAAACCTGTGACCAATGGTGTCCAATATTGTAATTTATTTTGGTTTTTTTTTTCTTGCACCGGCAAAGCCACTTCTTCTGAGGAGTTGGCAGAAATTCAACGTCAATTCATAACAGACCAGCCAGCCATTCAGTCAGTCAGCCAGATTTTAGCACAATTTGATGACTTGGTGGTTTGTTTGCTGTTGCTCGGAGGCACGCACACACATGCAGCAATTCGACTGCCTTTAGCTTCTTCTTCTTCTTCGTCGGAATAAAAAACAAAACCAAAAATTCCTTGTAAAATCACATTGGATGACGGACGAGACGGCGACGTTGATTTGATTTACCTTGATAGCTGCTGCTAATCCTTTTGCTTGATTGATTTTGTTTTTGCTTGCAAAAATTTTTAAGTATGTTTTGTTTTTAAAACATTTTTCCCTTTTTAATTTAGTTTATTTTGTTTTTTCATTAGTCTGTCTCTTAAGTTTTGTTCTTTCACAGAAGACGTCTGTCTTGCTTTCATTCGCTTTTTTTTTCTTTCTTTTTTGTGTGGTTTTGTCTATACACATTTATTACATATTATCAGCTTCACAATGCCTCTTCTTTTTTTGCATTTTCACATTGCCAGCAACTATTTAGGGAAATAAAAAAACACACACACATTTATTTTTATTAAGCGGCTACAAGAGCATGAATGAATATGCCTACAATTCAATCTTTTAATGTTGCTGTGATTTTGCAATCCGTTTATTCGATTTTGTCAATATATATATATTTTTTTTTTTGCTCATGAATTATCATAATGTTTTATGTTCAATCGTATCTTTCTTGTTCTTCTTTGGACTTGTCAAAAAATTTGCTATTTGTACTACTACTGCTGCTGCTACTGCCTTTTTTTACAACTCTTGAAAGAACTTGTCTCCAGCGATTAGAGAGAGAGTGCGAGAGAGACAAGCATACGTATCATATACAGGGTACAGTGATGCCAACTTTTTGTGTGTTTAATCAATGTAAGCGTTTTATAATGTTGTACATTGGCGATTTTTAATTAATTTATCAATGAAAGTGTGTTTAGATTTAATTTTATTTTAGGGCACACATTTACACCGAAAGTGTTTGATGATTAATCATAATTTAATTGCCGTTTAAGAGTGCTTTTACATAATTGTCGTTTAAAACAGTTAAACGTACGAAAATATCAATGTGTGTCAAAAAGATATATAATTACATATGCATTTTTTTAATAGAGCACAATATTTTTATATGAGAAATATAATGAAATTGCCAATTTATGGCACTTCATATTAAAAATAATATACTTTGAAAAAAAATGTGTTTTATTCCAAAAATATGTGTTAAACCATGAAATGGTTTAACCCTGAATTTTTTAATGATATATAATTCCTGCTTTGGCAAATAAATCGAGCTAATGTTACAAATGACAGTATAAACGCGTTTTAAGTGACGCTATTAATAAGCTTTGATAGAATCATTTTTTCAAAGACATTATAGTTCCGTTCCAGAACCATTGACCCAAATTTAAGAGATCACAAAACCAAATGGCATTCTCTTTGTAAACTTTTTACTCGAAAAATTTGTCCGAGTAAAAATGGTAAACAGGAATGCCAACTTCTGATTGGCCGTTGTGTTGATTTTGAAGTATTGTCATCTAATTTTGGCATATTTATTAGATTTGCGATCCCGAACTTTTCAAATTATTTTGTACTCTGAGAGCGATTTTAAAAGGTTTACCCCATGGCATAATTATATAAGGTAGTCTCATGCAGTCAAAATTTTTTTCTCCGTCAAAATTTTGATATTGACAAAAATAATTTCTTTAAATACACCACAACGCGTGAAAATATAATTCAAAACCTATACAAAATTTAAATAAGAGAAATATATTGTCCAAGCATTTGGGAATATTAAATTTATTAAAAATATGCCAATCGACAATATTTAATTTAATTTATTTATTGATTCTCAACAATGAGATTACCTTCTGTAACTATGTCAAGATACTGTCCATTTCCATTGATAATAGCACTTTTTGGTATCAAATAGTGGCGGGAATATTCAACACAGCTAATAAAAGACACACGGTATAAAATGGATCTGCACAGGTGCCGATGGGTTAGCAGGACTGGTGGTCAGATGCTGGTGTGAACGACTGAAGCCAATGGTCAGTGACATTTTTATCAATACCAATAGCTTTATGAGATGTTGTCACGAAAAAAACACATTATAACCTATTCATCGACTTCGAGGTGTTTAAAGCCATGTCTGCTTTCGCCATTACAGGAAAATTAATACGGCTATGCAGTATAACTTTAACTGGCACAAGATGATCAGCAGTTAAAGTCGGAAAGGAGCCCTGTAATACCAAAGGAGGATTCAGAAAAGGCGACAGTTTGCCGTGTGATATTTTTAAAATCCTGCTGCAAAAGGTCAGATGAGAAGAAAAAGCGAACAGGAATGGCACTCTGTACACCAAACAGCATTTGTTACATTGCTAGCGGTAACAGCCACCTTTGAACGAATTGGGAAGGAGACCAAACTGATGGTATCAACGCGCAAGATTTCCACTATACTCGAACCAACTTTGAAACTTGAGAACTACAATTTCGAGGTAGTGAACGATTTTATATACCTCGGTACCGGCATAAACAAAACTAATAACATCAACTTTGAAATCCGGAGAAGAATAGTGTTGGCCAACAGATGCTACTAAGGTCTGAGTAAGCAATTCAAAAGCAAGGTCACCCTCGCCAGACCAAAGGTGTTGAAAGAAAAAATTCTCCGAAAGATCTATGGGCCGATCTGAGGTGAATATCGCCATCGAATGAACCATGAGTTGTACTATCTATTCTCGGACATCGGCATTGTCAGACGTATCGAACTGCAGGGACTACACAACTTGAATGCTTATTCCAAGAGACGGAATTTCTCGTCGTGGCAATAGCAATTGGCCACCAAGATACTGCGATTGGACACAATTAGACACGTTTTTATCAAGCTTCAACTTTCGAGTGAAATTTGAAAAAAAAAATCCTTGCAACAGTTCTCACGAAAATCTTTTAAATGATATAAGACCATTGCCCAAATGCACCAACGCGTAAAACTAAGCGACTATATATCACCAGTCCTGAGATTTGAGGATTTAGATGTCATTATTCCTAGTAGAGACTGGAAGCAGAGTAACTCTCCTCTGGACGGTCTGGCTTTCTATACAGACGGATTTAATATGGAAGAAGGTACATGGGCTGGCGTCTACTGTGAAAGGCTGGGCCTTGAGATTACCTACAAGCTGGATAGCAACTGAAGTGTTTTCCAAGTTGAAATCTACGCGATTTGGATGGCAGCGGAACTGATAAAAAGTCTGGAGCAGAGAACGTCGAACCAACAACTATCTTTATGGATAGTCAAGCGGCTCTTAAAGTCATCAAATCTTGTTACATCAAATCTGAGCCCGTCCTCAAGTGTAGAACAGTTTTGGAAGAACTTACTTACAGCTATCGGCTATGTTGGATACTAGGACACCGCAACTAATTAGCTAGCAACTGATATGTCATCTTTACCGGACCATTGAGGCATTATTCGACGAAAGAGCCTATGCAATTTGGTACAACGAACCTAGGTGCAATGTGTCAAGATCTATTTGGCCGACTCTGTCTACCAAAAGGACGCACTCACCGTTAAAACTGAGCAAAGCGGAAATAAGAGTAATGACAGGAATCATTACTGGTCATTGCAATATCAGGTCCCCTTTACCAATAAATGGGACCATGATGCTACTGATTACTGTAGACTCTGCGTTGACGAGGAGGAGACGGCAACAATTGAGCGTCTCCTGTGTCACTGCCCAGTCCTGGTCAACAGACGGCACAGACTAGTGTGAGCTCATTTTCCACCGAGTCTCAGCTTCTTCTCGACAACCGAACCTGATCTAATCTACAGCATAATCAGTAAACTAAAGTAGTTGGGAAAGTGCAACATTGACACGTAATATATCTTCTGTCCGATCTCTACAGCCATCGATAATATCTCATACTTGCCTCACACACATCCTTGTAAGCTTCTCATCTCTCTCTATCCCCCCCTTAGATCACTCCATTTCTTTTTTTCGTGCATAATTACAATTGACCTTACGGTTTCACAGTGCTGCAGCCCTGATATAACACCAATGTTCAAACTTCATAATAAATAAAATAATGTTATATGCGTTTTATTCACGTTTACTTTTGTTGAAATGGCAAAATGGATAATCCTGAATTTATTAATTATAAATAATTCGTGCTTTGGCATATAAAACAAGCTATTGTTACAAATTATAGTATAAACGCGTTTTCAGTGATGCTATTAATAAACATTGATGGAATCATTATGTAAACGTTGGTAATAAACCTGGATGTTGAGTGTCATTTTTTTCTATGGCCTAATTTGAATGTGTTATTAGCGATAATTTTTTTTTTTTGCGTTTTTTTCCACCAAACATCTAGTTAACAACACCATGTGTGTGTTTGTGCAAATATTTGCATGGTTGTTCACTGTTGGTAGTATCAGATGATACAACAATACCTTTTATATAAAGGAGAGATATTATTGTTGTTGTTATTTTCAAAAGGTAGTAAATATTTTATAATTTTATCAATAAAAAAATATATAGAATAGTGTTCCAGCACACATACACAGAGCCAGACAGACAGTCGAACACACCTAACAAAATAAAGAGGAAAGGTGAATTCCCTTTACCAAAGAAAATGTCATCATAGGACTGACACATTGTTGCAAAATATTTTTTTTTTGTGTG